CTCTCTCTTACATAAATTTGATGCTACTATTATTTGTACATGTGTTGACTATGTAACATAATGAAACTGTGTATTTTGACCACTAAATGTCACAAAAAAACAAATTATCTTGTCCAAGGTTTTGGTTAGTGCGGAGCTGTTAAATGTTAAATAACACGAGCTGCTTTTGAGTGTAGTACGTTTGACTTGTTTTGATAAATAAATTGTTTCGAGCTCATTTAAAACTTGTTTTGTCATTAGGGCTTGTTAGGTTGAAAAATTTATAATTTTTTTTTGGAATTTTTATTATATACATCTCATTAACAATGAGTCAGGATTGAGTTCGTATATCAACTTGTTAACTTATTAAGCATAATTTGACTCTACTTAATAAGAATTCGAGCAATCTGAACTCGAATATCGAAAGTTCAACCTCGAGTTATTTACAATTCTAGTTATTGTATTTTATGGCTCATGAAGGATGATATTTTCATATTAATTTTAAAGTTTAAACAGACATGTAAGAACGAAACTACATTCAAATTCATGATGTTACAAATAGAAATGTTATTCGAGTCGAACAGAACTGAATCAAGCAGTTCGTGCACGAGTCCATACTCGTTTAATAAACGAGCAAGTTAAAATTTTGGTTCAAGCCTGACTCATTTACTAAGCTCCACAATTACAAACTAATTATTCACGAACACGATCTACAAACACAATAAACATATTGTGTATGCGGAAACATGTTGTATTTGACTGTTTATTCGAAATTCATAAGAAAAATAATAATAAGTTATTCACAAACTATCACAATTCAACTTGTTTTATTAAAAGAATTGGATTATTATTCAAGTTGAACTTGATTGTTATCAACTCGTTCAAACAAAAATAATGTAGGCCAAAGCAATAATGCAATGGAAAAGGTTGTTAGGCATTGATTGGCTGAAAAAGCAAACACAGTTTCAACTTTCAACTGAGAAAAAAGAGAACTGAAAAATCCCAGTCACCTGCCCGACGTAAAATTCGGGGGATTGAAATGGGAAAATTATAATAGATTTTTACACACTTTATATTATACAGTTTGTACTGTACATTTAATGACTTAAATAAACATAATTCAATTTATTAAATATTTTTTATATATGTAATGTACAATTTATATATGTAATGTACAACACCCAAAGCAAAAGATTTATGCTGACGTACACAGTTACTGTAACACCTGACCCTATCCTACTTTTTATTAATTACCTAAACATTAATACTCAGTGCGTGTATTTTATTTCACTGTGTGTGAATGACGTGAGCATGACGATTGACGTCTCGAAAAACCTCAAAACATATATACCCGCCCAGTAGGTTAAATTGTCCTGTAAATATACTTTGTACATGGCATCTATTATTGCCCTATATATCTAATCTATAAATTAATACCCTACATTTATGGGATAATGTGCTGCACTGCACAATTGTGAGTGCACCTATCAATTTCTGCACCAAATTGATAAAATGGCTAATTTATTTTTCTTCTTCTCATCTTTTATCAATACAATCAAATGAAAAAATTAATTATTAAAACACATTTTTTCAACAAAATTTATTCCTCATTTACTCATATCTTTAACTACCAACATGTATATTTAGTGTTTTATTATATTAAACGAATTTTAATCATTCCTTTAATCTCTTACCCACTCTTCCATTCACGTTTTTTTATTATTATTTTTTTTCCAAAATAATTTACATGAAGACCTTTGTTTTGTCAAATAAAACATAGAAGTGGTAATACAAACTAAAAAAAGCAACTATTTGGCAGATAGAGTGTTGGTTTGGCTAAACTCAGACTTACATTATTTTCTCTATTTCTTTCATCACGTGCTTCATCACACGTCCCTAGATATCATATTTTAAGCAACTTTTGATTATGACTTAGTCACAACTTCTAATTTTTTATTTATAACATTATGTCAAACTGTATAGTGGTTACAATAATTCAAACTCCTATCACTAATTGCAAGATTTCCACCTTAAATGCAGAAAGAAAATGTAATTAAACTATAATTAAACTAGTGAAATGACAAATGTATAAGTTTATATAGTGAAGTCGTAAGCTAAGAAAGCGAAGAATATTTACAAACAAAGGTTAGTTTGAGCTTGTTTGAGTTGAGTAACTAGTCTTGCTCGCTTGTATAATTGAGTTGACTTGAATGAAAAGTCATGTTACGTTCGCTTACTAATCAAACAAACACGAGTTATGCTAGATTGACTCGGACATATTACATCTACCAGTAGTAAGTAATGGTGCTCAACTGCTCATTGCTCGTTACAAAATACGAATGGTTCACAAACAAAAATCGATTTGACTCGTTTAAGTGAATAAAAAATCGAAACGCAAACAATTAATCGAGTTCATCTACCAAATGAACTCAGTTTATCTTGCTCACAAGCAACTTCTTTCATCTTCATGAGTTTTAAATGACGTAATTGAGCTACACTTTTTCGTGAACAGATTAACTAACAACTCATTTAAGATTCTATGTTAATGAAACACGTTGGTGAAGCCGAACTTTTACAATTAAGCTAGCAAGAGTTCAAAAGAGGAAAACTAGTCAACTTGATTCAAATAGCAACTCTATCGACTTACATATACAATGATATATACAAACATTTCTCTTCGATCATTCCTATTAGGATGCACGTAAATGCTATTCAACCAAATTTCAATATCCACACAAATTATAAACAATACCACCCCAAAATCTCTTGTTTATCATAATATAATCTACTGCACAAACACATAAATAAATACAATTCAAGATAAATAAACACAGTCACACACTGACTGACACAGAGGTACACTGTAGCTCCACTATTCAACGTCGGACCTGTATATGAGATTTTTTGTCTGCTATCCTCAACAGTATTGGCCCATAATTTTTCTGTTACACTTAC